CCTGGTTTTGGCAGATTTCTTTCTCAGTTAACATTGTGACCTTATATGTGGCTCTATTTTAATGTCCCTTATACAGGGTAATTTGATCAAACACCTCACTTACTGGACCCATGTGAAGATCCGGGTTGGAATCAGCAACAGATGCTTGTCGTAAGAGGTGACTAAGAGGTTTGGGAGGTCAGGCTTTGACCCATGTGAAGATCCGGGTTGGAACAGCAACAGATGCTTGTCATATGAGGTGACTAAGAGGTCTGGGAGGTCGGGCGTGGACCCTTGTGAAGATCCCGGTTGGAATCAGCAACAGATGCTTGTCGTAAGAGGTGACTAAGAGGTTTGGGAGGTCAGGCGTGGACCCATGTGAAGATCCCGGTTGGAATCAGCAACAGATGCTTGTCGTAAGAGGCGACTAAGAGGTTTGAGAGGTCAGGCGTGGACCCTTGTGAAGATCTGGGTTGGAATCAGCAACAGATGCTTGTCGTAAGAGGTGACTAAGAGGTTTGGGAGGTCAGGCGTGGACCCATGTGAAGATCCGGGTTGGAATTCAGTTACAGATGCTTGTCGTAAAAGGCAACTAACAGGTTTGTGAGGTCAGGCATGCTGACTTGACTGATGAATGTCATCATATCCCAACTGTGTAAATTGATGCTCATGATGTCAATCACTGGATTGTCTGGTCCAGATTTGAATACTTACAGACCACTGTCAGGTAGCTGGAATATTCCTGTGTGCGGTGTTAAACAAAAAATAAACACACAAACTAATATCCCCAAAAATGTATGATAAATCTTCAACATACATCTTCTGTGCAACCACTTTCAGTGATTATAAGAACTAGCATGTCGTTTAGAAAAAAGACATTTATAAATCATAAATTCATTTTATTCCAACTTCAATCTGCATTGTTCATCATAGATGTAACACAAAATAAACCCATACACTGAAATGTAACATACTTCAAACACACACAGTAACGTGATACTGGACACGACTTGTCTAGACCTATCTTGTATAATACAAGTCCCACCATCGGCTACAGAACACTTGTCATGTAACAGGTAACCCATCACTAAAATAATGTCTTCTACTTGTGAGTAGTACTGGAAACCATATTAGCGCTCATGTCTGCTACTGGTAACCGTTATAGCACTCATGACTGCTACTGGTTACCGTTATAGCACTCATGACTGCTACTGGTAACCGTTATAGCACTCATGTCTGCTACTGGTTACCGTTATAGCACTCATGTCTGCTACTGGTTACCGTTATGACGCTCATGTCTGCTACTGGTAACCGTTATAGCACTCATGTCTGCTACTGGTAACCGTTATAGCACTCATGTCCGCTACTGGTAACCGTTATAGCACTCATGTCTGCTACTGGTAACCGCTATAGCACTCATTTAACATTTAACTGCATCATATTAATTTAATGATTTTATCATGCCTGACATATTGTTAAACATTTACGATCCTTGAAAGTATTTTGGCCTTGTTTTCAAAACGAATTAAAAAATATAGCTTTCCCCTTCTTTTTCACACAATATTCACATTCATTTCTCCTTTAAAGAAGTACATGAGAAATTAGTTAGTCCTACATAGCAAAACCAGCACCTTGGTTTAACATAATACATTCTCTATACATTGTTGGTACTAACAACTTCTACTAACAACAATGAGATTCTTGTTAACTAGAGTGGAATATTTTGTGTCACTTGAAATAGATACAAGCATTGGATATATACAACACTTTGTACATTACACATGCATATTTCACTTATATCAATAATTGTGTCACAACCAAAAGTGTAAATTTTTCTCCTATTCAATTCTAGCTCAAAATCTCATTTTTAAAGCAAAATACAGTTTTACTTTTACTTTGTGGTAACGTAAATATATACACTAAAACAGTAAGTACATCAAATTTTACAGAAATCAAACAATAAAACAGGTGTTTCTATCAGTATGGTTTTTTTATTTTAAAAAATACCAGAGAAAAACAGTTTTTGTAGAAGAAGGATGCTGGTAGATCGCTGTAATGTCCAGCTTTTAAGTTTCAAGCAGTTTCAGAAAATAAATGTGAGCACACAACAATTGAAAAGAAAAACAATTATCTCTGATGATTAAAACCTGGGACTGGTAATGAATAGCATGCAAGAGTTTGATTATATTACACAACTAAAATATGTTTGTGACAACATTCTACAAAGACATGAATGAAAAATGATTTGACATATCAATACCCAAAGTCTCTAGAACACCCAAAACATGACACGACCAAACGTCTGAAAACATCACTATTTAAAAATAAATGCTTAACAAGTAAATATGTACAGTTTTGCAGTGAATTGTCTCAAGTTCATGTCAACAGTAACATTTTGTGACCACTATCTACAGTTTTAATTAACAGTGCATACACTTTATTTCTGAATCACATTGCATGAATTCTTCGGTAGATATCTGCAGTTGTTTGTCCACATGCAAGTGTCTATCACAGTCAAGGAAAATAAATAAACAACTTTATCTTTCATGGCCCAAAGCTACACACATTTCATCTATGTTCAACTGCTAGAAACGTGTTTTCAAAATGTCATACACCAATATCAGTATGATGTATAATGAAACGCATTATTGAGCAAAATAGCAGTGAGAAAAAATAAATATTGCCCCAGTCTACACAGGAAATATGGGTTGTTAATGCCATTTTTCACTTCACATAAATGCTGAAATTATATGACAAAGTAGACACAACTTCTAAGTTATGCCTATCAAACAATAAAATTATATGGTTGTGGAAAGTAGAAAAAAATGAATTCAAACAGGTCTGCTCATTGATGTGAAAAAGTCTGTCAATAAAAATAAAATATTTTATTGGCCTTAAAGGTCATTCATATGGTGTGTGTGTGTGTGTGTGTGTGTGTGTGTGTGTGTGTGTGTGTGTTTTCACTGATTTGTGTGAAGTTGACTACAGGGTTTTGGTTACAGTTAGATCATGAAATAACTGCACTAGATCACAAAACTCTCATCTCAAGACAACATGCATGTAATGAAATTGACAATGTTGACTAAGATAGTGTGACACTTTTACATATGACACTGATGACAGAGTTGTAAGTAGAAAAATAACATGACCATTCAACTTCTATGATCTGCTGAAGTTGACCAACCAATCAAAGTACAGCAAAACCCTGTTAGTCAGGACCTCATTAATCCAGAAAAAAACATTTTTCCTGGACGTAATCTTTTTGGAATGTCTAGACAGCTTCAAATGACATTACTACTTAAGATGGTTTAACAATGATTTGTTGATCCAGAAATTTGTAACTCTGGATGATTTCAATGGGAACGGCTGTGTCTGGAATAAGGAGGTTTCATTGTAGTCAGTTTCAAATATTTCAATCTCAGAATATTGCACTCAAGGTAGTAGAACCATTATGCATTGAAGTGAAACAAAACTATATAGCCTCTACATTACAAATGCTGAAAATGCTTAAATTTTAAAAAGCTAGTATTCAGTTCTGTGGATAATATTATCCGCGTATTGGACAAGCCGATGTTCAAACATTGTGGGTACATCAAATATATTTATAATGTTTATGGCATAGAACAATGTGGGAACGTCTCAATGTCCTTAGTTAACAGACATACAGGGGCAAACAATGATATATTGTTGGCTTCTATTCTGATGCTTAACAATACCAGAAATAACAACAGCTCACTTGGAACAGCACTTCAGTGTTGTTACATGTGAGTTTGGAGACAGGACGAAGTAGTATGAGGGTCCTTCTTGGCCAACTGGAAATGTCAAATTTATATTTAGCAATTTTTTCGGTATGAAAATGATCAGACATGTTCCAAAGGCTGACAATGCCTCTTTTCTTTCTTCGACTTGCAGGTTTGGGACGTCTGACAAGAATAAGTACACAAGCATGGCTAAAAATGAGTGAAAAAAGCCAGATTTCGAACTTCAAATGAAAATGTATGAGCAGCCTCCACAAATCAGCCTTTTGGACACATTCTAACATTACATATACAGTTAGGGCCGTCATAAGTCCCAAACATGCAATCGTTGAAATGGGCAAAACCTTGTTCTCTTTCATATGAACACATCTAGCAACTTTCATAACAATTTCCAATAGTCTTGTTCAATTCTTCAATAATGCTGATACTGTAGTCTAAGAAGGGCCCCTCCCTACCCTACCCCGTCCTCTGTGAGATAGGATAATAGCATATTCATCTGTTTTCATGCTTTTCACATTTCACATTCGGAGTTATCCGAACAGTCTGCAGCAACTCAGGCCTGTGTGTATCAATGTACACAGGGAGAGCTGTTAGAGGATCCTTTATGGAAATATCTTAAAATGTTTATTTGATTTCCAAATGCAACAAAGTATAGTTCTCAAAGAAGTTAAAGAACATCCTATTCTTTCATGTTACTGTAGTTCAGGGGGCACGGGTGGCCTAGTTGTCTAAGGCTCCACAATTCGCTGTGCAGAGTTGCGTCCCTTGGGCACGCCAGAAACCTATGATTGTGGTTTTGAATCCCGGTTCGCCCCGATTATGTTTCTAGGTTTGTCAGCACCATACCCGTGCACGTGGGTTTCACCGAAGCTGTAAACGTCTGAAACCTGCATCACTTCGGGCTTTCCTCCCACATTAAGCTGACACACCGTGATATACATGTAACTGGAATACTGTTAAAAGCGCCATTAAACCCAACTCACTCACTACTATAGTTCATCTGCCATGACAGATTAACTGCCAGTAGAGTCATATGAAAGAATCAAGTGTTTCTTAACTTCCTTGGAGCAGTATATGTCATGAGTTCGTAGGTATTGTTAATAAGCCATACACTTCAAATGACAGAGTCTACTGGAGAACAATGTAGCACATGTACCGTAATCAATGTAATTAGTGTCCCCGATATTTCACTGAATGAGAAGCCTTCACGCCATGATCCCGGTGCTTTTTAATCAATTTATTTCATTCCTTTTGATAATTCAACATTGAACTCAACAAGTGAAGACAAGTGGAGACAGAGTGAAGAGGGGGAAGGTCTCACCTGTATGAGTGGCAGTATTAGGGGAAGTAATTATGTTGATTACAGCGCACAGGTCAATGACCCTACAGATCTCTCAATTTTGTTATGCAATATGTTCTAAAGCAAGCCGAAGGAGGTTCTCATTGTAAAGACCATACTTACTTTTGTCCAGAATTATATTTGATTGCATGGTGTTGTTGCAATGTATGACATATGTTCTAATGTTGTAGAATGAAAATTGTCTGGGGAGTTTTACTGCTGACTGGGTCTCTTAACTAAAGGGAGATAACTCCTCTCGGCTTGCTGTGACTTCCGACACGAGGAAGCATTAGGTCTCGGATGATAGCACAAGCATCAGTCCAACTCCACTGTTGCTAGCTGCAGCAGCTTGCATTCTTTTTCTCTTGTTCTACATAATCTGCTACATTAAATTTCGGTTCATTGGGACGACGAGTCTTCTTCATTTTCAGATCTCTGGAACATAAACGAAATGATTTGCAGGTTAGAAAAACTTACTCCACAATGCAGGCAGTTGGTGGAAACTGAAAACTGAACACAAGATTTGATACAATGTGTTATCAACTGTCCTATCCTTGCCACAGGGTACTGGTTACTGAGTGTTGTAAATTTAAGTGTGTTTCCTTGTCATCAAAACTACCTGAATATGGATATTCATGATATTAAACACACTGCAGTTCCCTTTTGCACTTTGATCCCTTAACACAGAAACCAATATGTGCCTCTTCCTCCTTCAGGGCGTCCCCTTCCCTTGGTTGCCAACAAGAGTTATCTGTACCTGACCCCTTCACTTCCTTCCCATCGCACACTATGATAGTCATGTGCTGGGGATTTGGATTCGATATCTTTGTTTTGGGGACTTGTTGATGTTATAACCGAACAATTCTACGTCAGATACCCTTTTGATTTGTTTGTTTGTTGTTTAACGCCACACTCAGCAATATTCCAGCTATATGACAGCGGTCTGTAAATAATCAAATCTGGACCAGACGATTCAATGATTGATATCATAAGCATCGATCCTCGCATTCGGGATACAGTGACATGCTTCAACCAAGTCAGCGAGTCTGACCACCCGATCCCGTTAGTCGCCTCTTACGACAAGCATAGTTGCCTTTTAAGGCAAGCATGAGTTGCTGAAAACCTATTCTAACCTGAATCTTCACGAGTACTACATTATAATATGTGGGACATTTTTTATTCAGCAAAATTGCCACCTGTGGTGTTGATAATTATTTTCCTGACAGTTTTAAAGTGTTACTACTTACCTAGCTACTGCCATAAACGCTAATTCTACATTCATGCCAGTTTTGGCACTGGTCTCCATGAAGGCAACTCCATATTCCTGGAAAAATAACAAGAATCGTCACACACACAACATATTTGACACATATCACAAAACCCAGAGCCATGAGGATGCATATATACTATTTATGTGCTGTACCGGTAGTTATGATAGTATTCTAAACATTACATGTACAAATGTCAAATAATAATTTGGGGATTAAAGACACAAAAGTATTCTATCCCGAATAACTGTGAAAAAATAAATAAATGGAAAGTGTTCAAGTGAGTGCACTGCATGACTTGAGGCGAAGTGTTTCATATTGTTGTGTAGTTAATAACAAATCTTCCATCAGTCATTTGTCATATTTTTCTTACCCTTGCTAACCTCTCTCCATCCTCTCTCCGAATAACTCTCTCTCCAGCAATGTCAGCTTTGTTGCCAAGCAACATGATTACAACGTCTTCTTGTGCATATTCATTAATTTCAGCTAGCCAGGCCTGAAATATACCAATACCGGTATTACAAAAGTGCATTATGATGACTTGTGTGTACCGTTTACAAAATCACAAAATGGCGCTTCGTTGTTGATGGCAACATATAACGATCATTATGAAATTAAAAAAAGACAAGAGAAACAGCTTCCAACATTATGAAAGTGGATGACTGATTAGTTAAATCTTTATCAAAAATAATAATGACTTTTTTCAATATAATTACAACGTTTTTCATCTTATATTACTGAACATCTGAAAGTACCAGCACATGTCTTGCAGTCCGACTTCACAGTGTTTTTTGCCTTTCACTTCCTGGTTCGGCTTATCTGGGGGTCATATCATTTTCTTTCGTATTTCAATGGTCAAGTTAATACCTCGGCTTATCTGCGGGGTCGGCTTATCTGCGGTCGTATACGGTACATTGCTAATGAGGTAAATTGTAACATACGGCCACCGTTGGGAAGGGTGTCTTATACTTATTGGAGGCTGTTTGGAATGTACACTATAGAAAGTTTCATTTCAATTTGACGGTTATGTCTGTTAAGTTTAAATGAATTGTTTCACATAAAATCACCCTAAGAAATTCATTTTAAGTCTAGTCCAGAGGAAAGGGGACACCATATTTCATAGTCCTCCAAGTCTGTAGCACGTCCTGCTTGTTGGCAAGATGTTTACTATGTTTACATTTTCTGTCAGTTTTATTCAGTTCAAATTTGTAGCAAAACTGTAGCATTGAGAACTCGTTCAGAATTATAGCCCTCAAATGATTCTAGTCAATGAGGACTACCATCGCTGGATTATTACTTGCTCTCACAACAAATTGGTAGTCACAGGCTAGCGACTAGTGTACATTTTGAAGGCTGCAGCTTGTAAATACTGGTCAGGCAAACCAGTGGTTGACATCATGAGCACTGATCCACACAGTCAGGGCCCAACAACACACTATCCTCCAGGGCCTCCCTACAAAGCTACCATCCTCAGTATGCCACCATCCTCAGTATGTTAGGGCATGGGAGTTACGATCATCTGGGAGCGAAGACCAGTTCATGGAACAGAGCCCCTTGTCCCATATTGTAACCTTCCAGTCCTCGTTAGTCACCTCGTATGACAAGGATGGGGTACAAGGGACCTCGTCAAACCCCAAATCCCCACATGGACCATGCTTTTAGTGTTGTACAGTGCCGTGCAAAAGAAAGTATACACCCATGTTTGATGGTGGCTAAAAATGAAACTGACAAAAAATTGTGAATTGATGGTGATGTATTTGATACAGGTTTCATAGTTGTGTTTTGGTCCTGAAGTTTGCAGCGTTTCGGCGACTGTTTTCAGCCAAGTAACGTATATATATATACTTTGTAACACAGTGGCTTTTGCTTGGTAATATTATCTCCATTAAATGTCTTCAAGATAAGTCATCCCCAGCCCTCTCTGCATAAGGACCAGCAATGAGTCTGTTAATGGAATGTCATTTTGTAACTTGAAACTCCACAATCTCTGCTCAGATCCGAGCACATTCTGACCACTGGAGGATATAGTATATATGACAATGTTTGTAATTTTTGGGTCAAATTCAATTTTCAAGTGCATACTTTCTTTTGTCCAGCAATGTATTACAACATGGTCGTTTGAAATGACTGGCGTCTACTTACTCTGATGTTGTCAAAGCTGGCTTTATTTGTGACATCATATAACAATAGGAGAGCTGAAAAAAAAATAATAACAGTTGACAAAAAGATATTTACTTTGATAATTAAATCAATAAATGCTCTGTAGACAAACATATCAGAATCTGTTAAGGATTTGTAATATTCAGAGAGATACAAACAATGTTACTGAACTGATATTGTTTCATAAATATTAAAAATTTATAAGATACAAACAAACATCTAAATTTTATATAGTTGGTTGATGTTCTTTTTTTACTTTCCCTGAGTTAACGTTCATACGTGATATGCAATATGATCATAGTCTTAATGAACTATCTTATTGTACATGGAGTTACAGCATAACAAAGACAACATACGCATGACAAAGACATGACTAAACACACATTACACAAACCAGTCTCTTGAATATGTTCAAGAATTATCCTCTCGGAAACATCGGTTCTAACATGTGACCAGGTCAAATCTTACAACATTTCATTCAAAAGAACATGCATGTCCCAGTCGTCTAATGTGCCATAATTCTCTATGCCGAGTTACAGCCTATAAGTGCCCCGGAATCTTTGATCATGGGTTCAATTCCAAGATTAATCCTGATTTTGTTCCAAGGTTTGTCAGCATCATACCCATGCTTGTGGGTTTTACCAAAGTGAGAAACTTCAAAGAGGTGAATAACTTCTGGCTTTCCTCCAACATCAAGCTGACACACCGTGAAATAACTGAAGTACTGTTGAAAGTGACATTTAACCCAAACGCACTCAGACACACTCTCTCACTTTTAGTAAAACAGGCATCAATCAAGGGATTCACATTTCTTCCCCTATAATTCCATCACAAAGGGTCCAAATTTGTTGTATCCAATTTGATAAAATCCAACAACATTTTTGCCCTAAGTGTGCATCAGTTTCGCCAGTGCTACATTTCTTTAAGATAATGTTTAAAGGTTTCTATTTTGAGGGTTGATTCTAGGGACAAAGAAATACTTTTGATTCCAATTATTTTTCATGATTCTTTGAATCCTGGTCAACCGTAAATATCCTAAAGAACATGATAAGGGAAGTCCCAAATAAACATACAAGCATCCTAGAACAATATACATCTTAAACAACAATATACATCTTAAACAACAATATACATCTTAAACAACAATATACATCTTAAACAAAATCCACAGTTGTGCATGAAAAAATGAACATCCTCATTTTACAAGGGAAACAAAAAGTGACAATGTGTGCATCATGCATACCAAACTTTATAATCCACCCCAACCATGTCAGTGTGCCATGCAGGTCGCATTGACATGCATTCAGTGGTGGAAGAGTGCACTATGAAACCACAGCCGATACAAGGCATGTCAGAGGTGATCACTGTACATCTCGTTAACTGGCTACCTTCTTGCTGAACTGTGTGTGTTCAGGTGGTTGAATGAGTGCAGAACATGAATATTTGTTGTTTGTTTATTGTTTAATGCCCACTCAGCAATATTCCAGCTACATGACGACGGTTTATATATAATCGAGTCTGGACCTGACAATCCAGTGATTGACATCATGAGCATCGATCCACGAATGAGTTACGATGGTATGCATCAACCATGTTAGCGAGCCCGACCACCCAATCCAGTCAGTCGCCTCTTACGACAAGCATAATCGCCTTTTATGACAAGCAAGGGTAGCTGAAGACCCGTATCATCACAGGTCTGAGATCAACCTGAGAGTATATGAACATTATATGAAGCTGTGCTTATTCTGGAGATTATTAACCTATTGGGGAATGTTCACTATCAAATAGGTTTCATACTCAATTTGTTAAATTTTGTTTGTTTGTTTGTTTGTTTGTTTGTTTGTTTGTTTGTAGTTTAACACCACACTCGGCAATATTGCAGGTTAATGAAAGCGGTCTGTAAATAATCGAGTCTGGACCAGACAATCTAGTGATTGACAACATGAGCATCGATCCACGCAATTGGGATCGATGAATGCATCAACCAAGTCAGCGAGCCTGACCACCCGATCCCGTTAGTCGCCTCTTACGACGAGCATAGTCGCCATTTACAGCAAGCATGGATTGCTGAAGACCTATTCTACCCCGAATCTTCACGGGCCTAGTTTGTTAAATGATCATAACAGCTTCGGTGAAAGAGTAACTGACAAATCAAAATCTAACTGGACCAGATATCTGAAGGCCATATGTAAGGTCCCTGTTTTGAGGCAGTCCTAAAATCTCTCAATGGTGTTCTGTACACAGCATCATCCTGCAAACAGTCCACATTCACTATAGCCTGGGGTAGGATCTCTGCAGAATGATCTGCTCCCAGAACCCACGCAAGTATCCTTTGAAGCAGACATAATCGGGCTGGTCAACCAGTAATGGCCAGACTAGCCACTGGCCAGATAGATCAACATATTGGCTCCATGAGAATTAGATACGGTCAAGCTACAAGCTCATTATTATAATTGACTAAGGTGATCTTCAAAGTGCATCTTCCTCCCTACATTAGTGCTGTTGCGTTAACAATCAACATGATGCATTTGCTTGAAATTGACAAAAGTGCTACATACAAATCCCTGTGCAAATGACTTGATTTAGAATGTTGGTTAATACCATGGGCATCTCGGAAGTAAGCATGGTTAATAATTCAGGGATTTATTTCGATCATTGTAGTTATATTTTACAACACTGACAGCATGCATTTGAAATTGATTAAAGTGTGATTGTACAAATACTGCGTCAAATATATTGATTTAGAATCTTGGTTTATAACAGTGTTCGAAATACCTGCCTGCCCGACCGTCCGAGACGGGTTGATTTCAACTCGGGCTGCCAGATTTTCAAATCCCCCTGCCCGACGGTCGGGTTATATTTCATATGTGAAAATATTCTAAATATTTCCCGATGATAAGCATTAATTCAAATGTAAAGATGAATGATAAAATGTAACCAAAAGGAAACCCCGTTAGCTTATCCTGAGAAACATATGATTATAGTGGGCAGGCAGGTTTTGGTCAGGGCTGGCAAGTATTTCAGCTAGCCAGTCCTGTGGTCTGGCTGAAATTTTTGGGAGTTTCATACCCTGTTTATAATGCTAGGATTTATTTTAATCATTGTAGTTTTTAAAACATTTGTAACATGGATTTGCAGCTAAACATATTGATCGTTGATCTTAAATACGACAGTGACAACAACATTGATGTTAGTATCTATTCTACAACTAGCAACACCACACTGAAGTGACAATATTACCACCAAAATCAGTAGTCGTTAGAAGTGTGAACAAAATATCAAATAGGGACAGACGTGTTAACTGAGTGACATCTAGCCATACATAATGATGCGACGACAGATAGATAAGTGCTAATGATACCATGGGCATCTCGGTAGTAAGCATGTGTAATGCTTCGGAATCGCTCTTGACCAGCAGTGTCCCATATCTGCAATGATAAACTTGTTGTACATTTCACAGCAACAGTGTACATTTCAGGACAATCGCAACATCTGCAACCTACCATTAGCATCACGGTAATAAGCACGAGTGATGCTTCGAAAACGTTCTTGACCAGCTGTATCCCAGATCTGAAGAACATGTTCATATATTAAAACATCCAATAAAGCATGCACAGCAAGGCCAGAAATTTGCTTTACTGATTTTTTACAGGAAAATACAAGTCGGTAGGTGTAAAAAAGAAAATGCTATTTTCTAAATAGTTTTTTGCTTCACTACAGGTCGGCTGGTATAAAAAATAAAAATGGTTTAATGTGGGAGGAGAGCCTGCAACACAGCTGTTGCTTTACAGTTTGTTTGTTTGTTGTTTAACGCAATATTTCCAACTATATGACGGCGGTCTGTAAGTAACAAACCAGTTATTGACAACATGAGCATTGATCAACGCAATTGGGATCGATGACATGCATCAACCAAGTCAGCGAGCCTGACCACCCGATCCCGTTAGTCGCGTCTCACGACAAGCATGGTCGCCTTTTACGGCAAGCATGGGTTGCTGAAGACCTATTCAACCCGGGGCCAGCTGTTGCTCTAAGCAATGTAAACCTGACAAACCAAGCGGGAAGACAGTTGTGCATCAATGCATCCTATCAATTTCAGGAACAACAACAAACTTTATTCTGACTCCCATGTTTAATTTTTGAAATTCAGTCGGCCCATGTTTAAAAAATATTTTTTGGGTGAAATATGTTATCAGCTTATCAGCCGGATAAAAAAAGAGCAAATTCTGCATTGTTTTTTCTTGAACCATTTCAACAAACTTTTCAGTCAGCAGATCCGTAAAGCAGGTAAAAAGAATGTGGCCCATGTTGTACACAAGGAGTTTTCAACTGCCATACTGCATGTCAGCACTGTGACTGGGTGATTTGGGGCAAACACTGCTTATAACAGTGTTCCAGCTGTATCACGGAGTGTCTGCGAAGTGTGGAAGGCAAGCCCAAAGTAATATAGGTCTTAGACAATTACCACAACTACCACCATGCCAACGAGCATGAGTATGGTGCTGACAAACCTAGAAACATAATCGGGGCAAACCGGGATTCGAACCCATGGGATTCGTACCTGGCATGCCCAAGTGAATGCAGCACTTTGGACAACTGGGCCCCCCATGCCCCCTAAAGCATGTCAGCAATGCATGTTCATACCAATTTTATCATTCAAAACTGGCTCCCACAGGAGATATCACTTGGGTGAGATCAAGCAATATCTACATTTTAGATATCGCTGCAATGAAAATGCATCACAATGCTTTGCAGACCATTGTGACGTCATTAGTTACCATGACGTCACAATCAAATGACAGTAATAGGCAGTGTCTTAAGTGTAAAATACTGCTAACAGCTTCAGTAGCGGAGCCATTAATGATGTCTTTTGATTGTGACATCATGGTAACCAATGACGTCACAATAGTCCGCAAAGCATTGTGATGCAATTTCATTGCTGCGATATCTACAGTGTACAATTACTTGGAGGTAATATTTGCATCAAACCCCTGTGAAACTAGAAACAATCATAAGTTGGCCTTACAAGTATGAGCAAGTTTGACATATTTGTTCCAGAGTGAGTGAGTAGTATGGTTTTATGCTGCTTTTAGGAATATTCCAGCAATATCACGGCGGACGACACCAGAAATGGGCTTCACGCATTGTACCCATGTCGGGAATCGAACCCGGGTCTTTGGCGTGACGAGTGAACGCTTTAACCACTAGGCTACCCGATCGCCCCTATTTGTTCCAGAAGAGCTCCAATGATTCAGTGCCAACCTAACATAGCATGTTACCATAGTTACGCAATGATCTACCACAAATGTCATCAACTGTAATATAATACATACAGTTATTCAAGAATTCATCTGTAAATCTGGTACAAATGTAAATAATTCACATTTACAACCATTCTCCTGGCATGCCGGCATGAACAAATCAAAAGTTACAATAGAAATAGCTTGCACAGCTCAATTCATCAAGTTGTGGCAAGGCTGCAAATGACATGTTTGTTAGTGAAATTCATAAGCTCATCCAAGCTTTGAGTCAGCTGAAAATGTCTCAGGCTGGTGCAATACAACTGCTTGTTCCTCAACCGTTCCTTTTACAAATATTCTGTGTTGGGTCGAAAGTGCTTGCATGCTAACTTCAAAACTTTGCTCTACTTATCACAGATCTGTTAAACTTTAGTTCACAGCCATTGAACAGAATTCAATGTCCAGATTTATGTAGTAGGAAATAACCGAAGTGATTAATCATTTCTATAGCGCTAAAAGTAGTCTATATTCATATAGAGTGCCAGACTTTCGATGATCTATGTTGAGATTTTTCTGGATTATTTTTATCATTTCCTCCTTTTGAACAGCATCGCCGGTGTTGAGATGGAATATCGGTGCTTTTCTTAAAAACATTCCCGAAGATTCAACTTGGAAATAATTTTCTAACATCTTCCGCACCATCCTCTCATTTTCCGGAGTTGACAAAATCCTGCATATTTTCATGCCTCTCCACTTCATATTCAGAGCCTTTACACGAGTAATTTTGGGGATTTTTTAAAAATCAATCAAAAATGATTTGGCATTAGGGTCTTTCGAGGTTTCTCTCTCCTGGCATGAATCCGCATTATGTAAACCTTCATTTTTTATGGTGTCCAGCTCCTTCTTTTCGACTGATCTTTGTGTCTATCGGTAACAGACGTTGAACTTACATGACGTCATCATAGGCAAGGAGACCTGACATCATCTCAAGCATGATGTCATATAACAACAGAACTGATTGTCCGTTCACGGATAACACATCATTGCAAACATGATGTCACATTACTATGAGAATCCGCCACGGATCTGAGAATACGCCACGATTGGAGTCCAGTCCCAGATCTGAGTCCTACATATATTCAACATTCATACTTGAGATTTTAAGTTGATCCTCTTTTCATAAAATACTTTTGCATACTGGACAATGGACAAGAATTTTGAAAAACTACAAGGAAATTAGTCTGATTGATGTGGCCTTTCATAACCTGTTCACAATATTCCATTTACTAGTCACATGCATAAAGAACTATATCTCGATGACACTGAACTGACCAACAGCTGTTTCCAAACATAAACACACTTATAGTCTGGAAGGTAATTTAAGGTACCGTCGTTTACTACAATATCTGAACTATTGGACGTTGAGGCGCCCAACGCTAACACCGTATTCGTGCGTGCGTGATTCCTGTGCACCCTTTTGAGTTGAGTTGATTGGTTCAACTGTGTCATATGGCCCTGTGACGCAGGGGTAGCATTATGCAGATGGCTGTTACAATGAATTCTCGTTCCACCCGTGACGAACAGGTCTGGTTGTTGATGAAATATAGTGATAGCTAAATAGACAGATTTTTTATTTAGGCACCGATTGTCTTTAAATATAATATCCAGTTATGTATGACTGTTTAATAATCTCATACCAACTTTGACTGGAGTAGGTCCGACAGTTTTTCAGATATTGTAGTAAACGTCGGTACCTCAAATTACCTTCCAGACTATTATCTCCTGTAAAACCATAGCTGTTTCGTGTTCTGAAGAGTGTGTCCATGACATGAAACTGACTCAGTCCATGGCTGGCCCATACAAAGTAAGGGTTACTCCAGAGCTAACTTCAGTTTTCTCGCACAACAGCTTAGCCTGGGAACAATCAATACCTAGGTAAAACATGCCTCAGTGTTTGGGAATATCTGCTTGTCATGACACTAAACGTACATCTAACAATGTTAACTGCTGCAGACCTAGGGTAATCAATAGCAATGTTTTGTAAAACAGTCGTCGTTGTCAATATGTTCAACATCTGGCGCAAAACAAACCAGCCATGCCACTGATAAGTGTGCCACCTGAATCGTGGGAGGATTAATGTTGTGTCATCCAGCTGGTAGTCATCCTATATGATTGTGGATTCTGCAATGGTATACTTGATACTGAATGGAGGATATGGCTAGTTATGGTTGCACGTCAGTGCTAGAGTGAGTGAGTGAGTATGGTTTTACGCCGCTTTTAGCAATATTCCAGTAATATCACAGCAGGGGACACCAGAAATGGGCTTCACACATTGTACCCATGTCGGGAATTGAACCCTGGTCTTCGGCGTGACCCTGGCAATGGGGCTCAGACTCATACAGCCCGAAGAACACAACCAGGGGACATAACTCCCCTCTACCTTCCCAAATGTGTTTAGCAGACATGGATAAGAAACGGTTCATTTTCGGGTTCCATTCTCATTTGGGTGAAGCAAAGCAAGGACAAAGTGTGACTGTGTGACATATATCCATGTCCTACATTGCTTCTTTACTTAAGAAAAAACTCCATATATATATGAGTCCAAATATTCATTTTCACTTTTCATTCTGTTTTGTTTTTAACACTGCCCTCCATGACGTCAGCCTGTAAATAATCAGGTCTGGAACAGGCAATCCATTGAGTGACATCATGAGCATCGATCCACGGAATTGGGATCCGATGACATGCATCAATTAAGTCAGGGAGCCTGACTTCCTGCTCCCATTAGTCTCCTTGGACTGCTGAAGACCAATTCTAACCCAGAGATAGTCACCATGGTTACTGCATATCTTACCTGTAATTTGACCTTTGTTCCTTCTACATCAACGACTTTGTTCTGAAAAAAAGAAAAATTTATTGAGCATGTGTGAAAGGTAAGATGACTTAAGTAACAAAAACATCCTACTGAGTCTTAGAGAACATTAACTAACATCACAAATACACTACACAATAATACAAAATAATTTAAGGACTACCCGACTCCTTAGTAATAGTAAAACGTAAGAAACGGGTGGTCCTTTACTTTTTGGAGTAGTAAATGCTAGGACCTTGTTGTGTATGATGTCATACTTTATAACAAAGAGGGACGGTCGGGAAGCTTAGTGTTTAAAGCGTTCGCTCGTCACGCCGAAGACCAGGGTTCGATTCCCGACATGGGTACAATGTGTGAAGCCCATTTCTGGTGTCCCATGTAAAACCATACTCACTCACTCACTTCTAACAAAGAGCAAGTGGTGTTGTTAGGTTGACAAGATGACTGACATCAGCTGTGGGACAGAAGCTAGTAATTAATTTAGGCTGCATCTGGTTGATTACATTACACTGACAACATCAAAATCAATTAATTTCTAGTGTGTCAAAACATTATTCAAACTTGCTAATTTCCTTATCTCACGGTCAATATGGGTGTGAAACCAAGTCTCACATTATCTAACCAGTAACGTACCTGTCAATTTCCCTTTGTCTAATTTCTCGAAACCTTAATAAAACGTTCTTTTATCCATGATAAGAAATTGGTCAACTGTTCCCATATTAATTTTGTCCTCACACTACAGACTAATTGCTGCAGGCAATCAACACTGTAATTGACCAGTGTAATCAACAACTGTTATAAACGACAGTGTAATGGACGACAATCTAGCCTGCGGCCCAGGGAGGCTATCAAGGATGTGTGGACGGGGGCGAGGACATATTGCCAAATGATTGTCTTGTCTGGGTGATTGAGTGGACATCCATCTAAGATGGCCTACAGAGTATTATCAAAGCGGATGTGAGAACAAGCTTCTCGGGAATTCATAACATATTGCACCCTGGGATATCCATTCAGGTATCAATATCATCAAGGTATTGACAATCGGCGTACTTAGAATTACTGTATTCTCAACTAAGAATCCCATGTGCTCGGGAGGAGGCTGAAGATGTGGGGGGGATCACCCCGAGAGAGATTTACAGTCACTAAAGATAATCCCCACCTGCTCAACAGCGAGCATTTAACATAAACAAGTTGAAACTGTTGTAGTGATAAACTGAGCTGAGCTTTCGTGAGTCAATAGTTCAGTCAGCTGTATCCAGTGCAATATCCTGATTTCTGAATAAAGCAATACTTATATGAAGTTGTTGACCACATGATCAACAAAAATATTTAACAAGCATCATCTTCCTTTGTTGAATGATGATTGAAAGAGGTATATCAGTCTACAGTGTTGTAAGTACATGTGTATGCTCGTTGCAAGGATACGTAGTGCACTGTATCATGCAGGCATCTCTCTTCGACTTCTATGTCAAATTTGTAAGGCCAAAATTGTTTTTAAACTTGGTTTACAAATCCAAAAATTGAAATGTGAAAAAAGGAAAAAAGAGAAGGAAAAAAGGTGTTATTTTTCTTCAGCCAATCAGAATTATGTAAAAAGTAAAAAACCAAACTCATTTACTTTTGCTGTGGATATCAATAACTTGAAGGCATCTGGCCTGCTGTCCACTGCATGCTCAAAGATAAAAAACCCAAATCCAGAAACGAAATAAACACAAAAAACAACAAAAGTCTGGCCTGGGTATGGTTGAAACTATTCTTTCAACTCTCATTGTTTCAGCATGTTCAGTATGATTGAAAGTATTATTCCTATATCCTAATTCAAATATCTATGGTTTTTACACAAACACTAATGATTCAGCTTGCAGTCTTGTACAGTTTCTAAGGTTGAAAAGACCACACTGAAGTACCAGTCCAAGTAGAGAGATAATTTATGGATAACAACTTCCTTATTTACTTAAATGTCCAAAAATTATCTCTACTTTGTCATCCGTCAACTTCTAAGTAATGCCTATCTAACAATTTAACTATAATGTTGGATTATAAAGATACGGAAGAATGTCAAAAATAACTACAAGTTGAAAGTATTCGTGCTGCTTGGTATAAAAACATATTTACAACAGTAACTGATGACAAGAATTTTCAATTACTTTCTGCTTTGAGAACATGATTCTGATGCCCCGACATGCTTGACATGTGTACGGCATGCTTGACATGTGTACGGCATGCTTGACATGTGTACGACTTGCTTGACATGTGTACGACATGCTTGACATGTGTACGACATGCTTGACATGTGTACGACATGCTTTATGCCCTGACATGCTTGACATGTGTACGACATGCTTGACATGTGTACGACATGCTTGACATGTGTACAACATGCTTGACATGTGTACGACATGCTTTATGCCCCGACATGCTTGACATGTGTACGACATGCTTGACATGTGTAACACATGCTTGACATGTGTACGACATGCTTTATGCCCCGACATGCTTGACATGTGTACGACATGCTTGACATGTGTAACACATGCTTGACATGTGTACGGCATGCTTGACATGTGTACGACATGCTTGACATGTGTACAACATGCTTGACATGTGTACGACATGCTTTATGCCCCGACATGCTTGACATGTGTACGACATGCTTGACATGTGTAACACATGCTTGACATGTGTTCGGCATGCTTGACATGTGTACGGCATGCTTGACATGTGTACGACATGCTTGACATGTGTACAACATGCTTGACATGTGTACGACATGCTTTATGCCCCGACATGCTTGACATGTGTACGACATGCTTGACATGTGTAACACATGCTTGACATGTGTTCGGCATGCTTGACATGTGTACGACATGCTTGACATGTGTAACACATGCTTGACATGTGTTCGGCATGCTTGACATGTGTAACACATGCTTGACATGTGTTCGGCATGCTTGACATGTGTTCGGCATGCTTGACATGTGTACGACATGCTTGACATGTGTTCGGCATGCTTGACATGTGTACGACATGCTTGACATGTGTTCGGCATGCTTGACATGTGTACAACATGCTTGACATGTGTACGGCATGCTTGACATGTGTAACACATGCTTGACATGTGTACAACATGCTTGACATGTGTACGACATGCTTTATGCCCCAACATGCTTGACATGTGTACGACATGCTTGACATGTGTAACACATGCTTGACATGTGTACGACATGCTTGACATGTGTACGGCATGCTTGACATGTGTACGTGATGATCGTCTTTAATCTCCACTCATTAATGTCACCCCAAGCCATGTGAAATAGCTTCAAGCATGGTGAAATGGACATGAAATAGACATGGTCCCAGGAGTTGAGTGACACATGTCTCTGCTGTCACTCTGTGCCTAGTTTCATGGTGATATATAGGTACTTATCTTGTGCTGATATACAGCAGCTAGGCCTGGGTCAACACTGCATGTACACTACTCAAGACAGGTTAAAAACACACAGTTTGAAGGCCGTGTGTTGCAATACCCATTACCCATGACAGACTTACATAGTGGATGAAAACAGAGCCTAAGAAATGGACTTATTATTAATATTAATAATACTATCAATACTATTAATATTATTAATATATTATTATTTTTACTACCAATTTTATCACTATTATTATTAACTACAGTCATATAAAAAAATTGGGGGTTCTTTAACTTTTGAGTAGTAGCATATACAATATCATACACTGATCTTTGTCACATTTTTTTTCCGTAAAAGGCGACCATGCTTGTCGTAAGTGACGACTAACAGGATCAGGAGGTCAGGCTCGCTGACATGGTTGATGCATGTCATCGTATCCCAATTGCGTGGATCTATGATCATGATGTCAATCACTGGATTGTCTGTCAGGACTCGACAGACTGCCATCATATAGCTGGAATGTAGCTGAGTACGGCGTTAAACAACAAACAAAACAAAACATACTTATTTAGGATTTTATCAGTAAATTCAAACCATAATCGTATTGACATGACATTTAAGAATCCTGCATTCTGATACTGACAGCTATTTCTAATCTACATCAGACTATGACTCTGCTGATGACTGCATCTCGTTGAAAGGAAATATTTAGTTAGAAGTACTTGTATGCAAACCCGTCCAAAAGGTAATTTCAAATATTGATCTTACTTCATAAACACTGCTGAATAACATGTTGTGGTTCCAAGGTCATTTAAAGTAAGTGTGGCAATATATTTTGGCCACAGCAATTTAGAATCTATTGTCATTTTTAACATCTTCCCGAGGCAAGGGAGTTGACTGACTATAAAAGTTTCGTTTCGTCCCTTGACGAACTAGGCTGAAATTACTGAGTTATATTTTGGCTGGACTAAAGAGTCTATGCATAGTCAAATCAAAAGCATTTTTGATCAATTGCAGGATTTGCAAAGCATGTTTACCGTCAACATAGCGTCAACTGATATTTTCCAGATCTTATGTTTTTAATCAAGGTGCTCATGTGATTTGATGCACTTCGCGAAGTGAGACCTTGATCTTAATTATTGATCAGATTGTCTTCACTGGGCGCAGCCATTTTGTTTGAAGAAATGCAAGTGATATGAGATGTGGAATCTGAGGGAGGGACATAGAAGGGACGTCGACATAGAAGGGACATAGAAGGGACACAGAAGGGACACAGAAGGGACAGAGAAGAAGGGACATAGAAGGGACAGAGAAGGGACACAGAAGGGACACAGAAGGGACAGAGAAGGGACATAGAAGGGACATAGAAGGGACATAGAAGGGACACAGAAGGGACATATCTCCTAATAGCCACTTGTGGCACTACGATCAAACCCAGAAATTCTGCCCTAGTTCTGCAAGGGTGGTAACCGGTCTTTTACAGTCAGATAACCCCCTTGCCTCCGGAAGATGCAGTTTCAGTAATGTCGTCACAGTTTTTGAGCTATTCAGTCATGTCTATTGTCTTTTACACTACAGTGCTAGGACTATTATATAGGGATAACAGTTTGA